ATTATAACAGTAACCTTATAAGAATGCTTTCAATGAGAGTTACAATTTAAGTAGAAAAACTCTTTAACTTTTAAATAAGTAACAGTAACCTTATAATTATAAGAATGGTTTCAACGAGAGTTACCATTTAAATAGAATACGTTCTTTAGATTAAGAACTTTTAAATAAGTAGAAAAACTCTTAACTAATCATTCGTCATAATCTATTATTTTACAGCTGTTGTATGTCTATTGCACCCTTCAGTCTAGTTGGTGGGCGACATAGGTTGAGTATGAAAGCTGAGAGTAATATTTTATCCTTCTGATAGTAAATTACAGCTCATGGTGATTGAGTATGAAAAATGAAAATGCTTTATACCTAATCAATGCTTTTGTGTAATGAAATGAAAGCTTTTTCTTCATCATGCCGGATAATATTTTCTCTTAAATAATAGAAATTCACATAATCGATGGGACGTGAAGTGGACCTATACTAGTTTATTAATAATGGAACGTAGCACAACTAAGGTGGACCTGCGCCATAGACAAGTATAACACTTAAATAAATGCTTATGAATGGGAAAAATGAAGGAATAACGAGCTCTAAATAGACTTTTGGTGATTGTAGCTCTAGCTAGAAATGAAAAAAAAAATCATGAATCAACGTCTTGAACGAAATGTTCTACGAAGTAAAATATTCAAAACAGCCAGCGTATTTAAAAAGAAAGTCTTCACTCTTAACTTATAGCCTGTTGGGAATTTACTAATCATGCATTGTTTGGAAGGGATTTTTGGGGGAATTGATTTTGAATAGTGATATGATGGGAAATGTGTAGTTGAAAAAGAAGAAAAAATTATTGATGTGATGGAAAATATTATTTTATTGAAGAATATGTGGTTGAAAATAAGAATTGATTTACTGTAAAAAATGAGAATTTGTACCAAACACGCTCTTTATCTTAAATAATAGAAATTCACATAATCGATGGGACGTGACATGGACCTATACTAGTTTATTAATAATGGAACTTAGCACAACTAAGGTGGACCTGCGCCATAGACAAGTATAACATTTAAATAAATGCTTATGAATGGGAAAAATGAAGGAATAATGAGCTCTAAGTAGACTTTTGGTGATTGTCGCTCTAGCTAGAAATGAAAAAAAAAAAAAAAATCATTAATCAACGTCTTGAACGAAATGTTCTACCAAGTAAAATATTCAAAACACTTAGCGTATTTAAAAAGAAAGTCTTAACTCTTAACTTATAGCCTTCTATCTCCACATTGTATTGCTCCATCAAACTTTCTCAGTTTAAAGAAGAGCAATAGTTATGCGAAAATGATCAAATTATTTTTTCTTTTCTATTTAATAATCTTTCACATGACGAGTGCTCAAAACACAGAATGTCAAGTCGACGAATGTTCCTCCTCGAATGAGGGTTAGACGACAACAATGAATCTTATTGTCAAGAATCCAAAAATCTTCAGATTCAATCCTTTGTTTAGACAGATACTAAAATCTTAACTACCATTGGCTCCATGTTCCATCCACCCTCTGTTTTAATTGAAGCCAAACAAGTAAAGACAAATGTTCTCTCGGTTTTTCTACTTATCCTTGTCGTTAACCTTGGAGGGTGTTTGAAACCCATTTTTTGGAGAATGAAATTTTTGAAAAAGTGATTGATGAGAGATTATGTGGTGGAAAAGTTATGAAAAGTTTTAGATTTGTGTGTAGTATTATTTTATTGGAAGAATATGTGATTGAAATGAAGAGAGAGAAAAAAATGAGAATGAGAATTAGATAAAAATGGGTGTCAAACATGGCCCAAATCTCTCCATCTATAAAAGACAATCTTAGCTTGTTGAGGAATTGAGCGATGTTTATGTAACCGCAGACAAAGAATAAAGCAACGCAAGATCTTACGTTTTACCATTTTCTTTTGGGATATAATAGGATGTTTTATCTGGCAAGAAAAAAAAATTAATAATAATATAACAACAACAATGGGACCGTTGTCTTTTCAGGGAGAATTATCTCAATTATCACTAAAATTCTACCATTGCTTCCCAATTGTCATTCAACTTCCAAAATTTTTTAATAGTTACTGAAATTTAATTTCTGCTAAATTCCTATCTATTTTGAAAGTGATTTTTTTGTTGGCAAATAATGATATTATTGTGCAATAATTTGGACAGAGTTACGACTTGCAAAAATGAACGATATAAAATATTAATGGTCGATGCAAAAGTTCGACTCTTTTTCCTTAAGACGATAATGCACCGCACTGGTGTTGACGGTGTTCTGGCATTCGTCTCTTAATATACAACGATTTTGACTTGTAATAGTAGTACTCCAAATTACAAGACTCGGCGAACCTACTCACATTTTGATCTCTTTAAAATTGGAGGATTAAAATATACGAAAATAACTTTCAAAACCGAATTGCAAAATATAGAATAATGCAGAGATGAAGGAATATAATTTGAAAAAAAGAATAAAATCAGAATTGATTTTGGAATGAATAAAAATCAGGGTATGTGGACCTTTATATAGAAGTTGAAAAGTTGTGTCCAAAAGACACAATAGCCGAAAAATTGAGTCTTCAACAAACACAACCCGTTGGACATGTAGTTTAACTGTCAACCGTCATCTTCTAGAAGAAATCATGTGTCGCGCACGAAAATAAATAATATAATTCAAATATTATTTTACCAAAAAATATATATCAACTTTGCCTAAGCCCAAGACCACGACTCATGCTAGCCGATCGGAAGACCGTGCACGCATGTGAGCTTTGGCCCCTTTCAAAAACTATTGGTACTCCTTGGGACCCAAACCAAAGTCCCAAATTTGAACAATATAAAGTTATTTATATTTTTCTTGTTTTCCTATGTGGGAATGACATTTTCCAATTTTCCACCAATTTTATTCCCAATTTATTTCAATTTCAAGTGATCATCTTTTAACCTTAATTTCTCATTAACCCTAAATTGGTTTTGAGAAAATAAATATATTATATTAAACTACTCATAGAGTATAACACACTCAGTCAAAAATTTCTGTGGGACACTCTCATATGAACACGTGGTAGGATCGTCTACTCAATTGATGTCATGTGGTCATTCATTTTATGATTAATATCAACTATATTTCTCTTTTACTTTTCATACCAATCGCTAATGACAACATGTATTCTTGATATCAAATTTTGTCACACCTATTTTTCACAAAAAATAATTTTTAACCTCTCTCTCTTATTATTTATTCAAAGACTATACTGATTCATACGAAGTTATATGGTTGAAATAAAATTCAGATGATTAATTTTATTAAACATATAAAAACATAAAATTTATTTATCCAAAAGTTATATTTACAATTTGAATTTAACCAAAATTCAGGAAATTGTTTATCACAAAAATTTGTCTAAAATTCAAAGCAAAATTTCTGTATCTAAGATTAGTAACAATATGTATTGCTTCGTGGATACTGAGGGGTCAACATAGTCGTAATAGTTTGTAAATGGACATTTTTGTAAATTTGTGTTTTATTTTTCATTTGTAGTTGAATTGATTCTCTTTCAATTGCATTACTATTGGGCAGCTGCCATTTTCTCAACAATTTATGGCAAAAATGGAAAAAGAATTGACGAATAAACACACATCAATCCCTACAAATATGTTTCCAATAACTTTATATTTTTTTTAAAATTTGAAATATGCATCCGATATTAATACAACAAATCTCTACTAAATTAATTTAAATTTATTAAATTATTCTGAATTTTAAATTAACTGTATAAGTTCATATGAATTGTAGTATAAAAAAATAATAATAAGAGAAACAGAAAGAGAAATAGAAAAGTTAAAAATTAAATTGACAAAATATAAAAGAGGTAAACATTGAATATTTATTTTATTTTATTTTTCAATGTCACGAGGACGGATGGTACATTAAATATGAGATTCAATGATTTTAAAGTTCAATAACCAAGAAAAAGCGAATATGAAAGTTCAGTGACCATTCGGATATTAGCATGAAATTTCGATGACTTAGACACATGTATGGTTTGCAACATCACAAACCGGCATATTGTTTTAAATGGTTAATGATCGAAAATCTAAATTGAGATCAATAATTATTTGAAAAAAGTAATCTTTTTTAATGACGAATGAGAAGAAACTACGAAAATATGAAAGTTCAATGGCCGTGCGATAATTTTGACACGAATTATTTTTCGGATAAAAACTTATTTGATGATCCAACTTAATAGTCGCTCAATCAGTCAATTTATTTCTTTTGATCGTATTAATCATCTGAATTTATAAAAATTCACCAACGTTTAGCATTCGTTGCATAAAATTAACTAAACAAAGGATGTTCAACACGAAGATAATTTGACAATATTTCAATCTCAACGTCAAAACTTAAGCAAATTAACAAGCATTGGTTTGTGAATCACGATGAAAGAAAAAGTTAGGTGACCATAGAAACAATTAGCATGCGAGTTGGGGCCACACAAAGTGGTTTAATTGATAAGTGGGAAAAAAAGGCATGTAAGTTGGGTGACCAAACATGAATTTAATCCATCTACTTTCACTTTCAAGTTTAATTTTGTTGCAATTGTTGCAACATATATTAAAAAAAAAAAAAAAAAGTCAATTATTTGAACCGACAAGTAATCCTGATACAGCACCTCACCGTTTTGCTTGCAAATTTTATCTACGTCAAAAATAAGATTTTAGGCAAATCGACCACTATAGAAGGAAAAAGAAAAAGAAAAAAACAAACAACGGGTGACCAAGCCAAGAGCCAAGTCATCTTTTCTTAATTCTTTAATATATAAGTAAGCTCATAAGTTTACATTATTGACTTTTCATAAAGAAACAAGAATTTTCGGCCAACATGAAATTGACTCGTGGTTTAAATTATTATATCTATATGTCTATATATACCATCATCCTAACAAAGAATGTATTGTACCACTACTAATTAATATCAAGTTCTTTTGCATTCTTACAATGGAAGAGAGTAAAATTCTTCAATATTTTGAAGGAAAGACGATTCTCATCACTGGAGCCACAGGGTTTCTAGCAAAAAGTTCTCTCCTCTCTGTCTCCCTCCCTCCCGAGTTGAGATCTACTGTCCAAAATTGACCGTCTATCCAGTGATTTATTGACACATAACATATTCAACTTTTTTCTCACTGACACTTGTGCTTACAAACAGGTGTATATTGATGTGTCAATGAATCACTGGTGGACTGTTAGTTGGAGAGGAGATCTCAACTTCTCTCTCCCTTGTGAAAAAATATACAAGCACTAGGTTATATGGTTATAACTTTCTAATACTTTTCTAATTGCATGCAGTTTTATTGGAGAAAGTACTTAGAGTTCAACCGAAAATCAAAAAGTTGTTTCTTCTTATTCGAGCTGTGGATAAGAGATGTGCTGAAAAACGCTTACATGAAGAGGTATACACTTGTAAAGTTATGTATATAATATATGTGCTACTACACTATTGCCATACACCCAGTCATTAGATAGGTAATGAAGGAAGCATTTAATTTAGGGATCACAATGCGTATTCGTTGAAAATGGAATGATTGATGTTAAGGATAAAATCGCACGTCGCTTGAATATGAAAATAATAATGGGCTTAGACTACTCTTCTTACGGCTCATTTCGCAAAGCTACCTTAAGTTTTCTCTAAAAACTCTTGTGATGAAATAAAATACTTAATAGATAGGTTCAAAGAGCAGCTTCTTAATATAAGAACGGCTTTTCACTTCTAAAAAATCATGTCAAAACGACCCTTAATAAAGTTGACGTGAAAACTCTGGACTTGGTGTGCTGTTTAGCGGTTGAAGATCTTTCAACTCTTCAAGCATTACATAAAAGTGATCTGTCCCGATTGAACGTATATTTCTTTTGCATGCTCACACGTGTAATTTCATTTCCAATTTTAATACACAAGTTGGGGTCCATGCTGAAATAATTAAATGTGTACGGTTTGATGTCAACTATTTGATAACACGATCAAATTCATAAAATTTTCCACTTCCTTTAAAAAATATTATTTATCTCCATCAGGGCTGACCTGGATTACGGTTTAGCGGAAACGAGACAAAATTACATAAAAAATAATTTCAAATTAGATTTACTTTGTTGGGTTTGGATTAAAAATTGGGGTCTAAATTTATGTGAGTTTCGGTTTTTTTTTTTTTTTTTCCCAATATCAAACATTAAGGGTCCAGTGGGGGCAATTGCACCTATTGGACCCTTAATGGGTCCGCCCCTTATCTACATACTTGACTCACTAAAATTGATTATGTTCCAGGTGCTTAACACTGAATTGTTTGAAATTCTGAAGGAGAAATGTGGTGCAGACTTCAATCATTTTCTATTATCGAAAGTTATTCCAGTTTGTGGTGATGTTTCTCATGAGAACTTAGGTATTTATGACTCAAAATTGAGAGATGAGATTTCACAAGAAGTAGATATTATTGTCAACTCAGCCGCAACAACAAGATTTGATGAAAGGTAATATATTAATTGGACTATGGTCAATTTATTTTTCAACAATTCCCATATTATCTACACTTATATATATAATATTAGTGGATAAAAATAATCTGTATTTCTTGGAGTTTTCATAGATATGATGTTGCATTGGGGATCAATGCTTTTGGAGCCATGCATGTCCAAAAGTTCGCCAGAAACTGTTCAAAAATAGATATGTTTGTCCATGTATCCACAGGTAGTTAACAACAAAAGTCTTTTTCACTTCCAAAAATTTAAATTTAGTTTACCAATCGATCATGTGGAAATTAATGATACACAAAAATGTACGTAAATCCATCTCTGTGTTTTTTACAGCTTATGTCCATGGCTCGAGTGTAGGGATCGTGCCGGAAAAACCATTTTGTATGGGCGAAACACTCGATGGAGCTGAAATCTCCTACTTAGACATCAACACAGAAAAAAAGATAGTGGAAGAAAGATTAAGAGGACTTGAAGCTCAAAATGCAACAGAACCAAAGATCACATCAGTTATGAGAAATTTGGGAATTGAAAGGTTAATTAACTATAACACTTAATTATTTGTTCTAAGCTCCAAGAATTTCAGTTTACTTCTTATATTCTATATATGCTAGCAAGTAATAAATGAGTTATGAAAAATATCTGACAGAGCAAAGCTGCATGGGTGGCCAAACACGTACGTGTTTACAAAGGCCATGGGGGAAATGCTTTTGGAGAAGCTGAAGGGAAATGTTAAGTTCATTATCGTACGCCCAACAATTATAACAAGTACTTATAAAGAGCCCTTCTCCGGTTGGACCGAAAGTATAAGGTAGGATGTTGACATGGAAACAATGTTTTTGAAGGTTATTAAGGGCCCGCTTAGTACTGCTTTTGAAAAGTCAAATGATGTTCCTCAAACTAATGAGTTGTTTTTTAGCAAGTTCGAATGATTTTCTAAAAGTACTTTATTTGGTTAGAAGAGCTTTTAGAGGATATTGATCCAATTTAGTTTTCTCGTGAAGCTCTTCTACAAGAGAAATAAATGCAGAACCCTGCCAAACGGCCACTAAGCCTGCAAATCTAAAGCTAAATGGCATGATTAATTAGTTGTGTATTTTCGAATTACTAACTTAAGATTGATTAACAAATTGCCAAAATCAGAACTCTCGACTGCTTCTTCGTTGGTTATGGCAAAGGAAAAATAAAATTCTTCGTTGGAGATCCCGACTCAATACTTGACATTGTAAGCTGATATAGTATATATGCATAAGCAATCTTCACATTTATATCTTTTCATCAATTATTATTGATTTCTTTCTTTGTGTTGCACATTTTGATTTTGAAACTTTGCAGATACCTGGTGATATGGTGGTGAATTCTATGCTTGTAGCAATGGCTACGCATACAAATCAACCATCTGATAGGTTAATTTATCATATTGGTTCATCACGAAGAAATCCACTAAAATATGCAGACATGAAGTGGCTTATGTATCGTTATTTAACTAAAAATCCTATGCTTGATTCGGAAGGGAAGCCTATCAAAGTAGATGAAGCCAAGATATTGGAAACCATGGCAAGCTTTCACAGATATATTGCAATCCGTTACTTGCCATTTATACAGGTTAGTTTACTAATCTTTTCCAATGAAATCAAAATTTGATAATTACTTGGCTTTTCCTTCTAGTATATATAAAAAGACTTGATGAAAATCCGGTCACTATTTTTATTATTTAAAATAGCATTTGATTTTCTATTTTCAAACTGCACTGAAAACGTGTTTAGTATGATATCTCTGAAAATGTATTTTTAAAATCAAGGACAAACTATAACATGAAACTCAAAACACGTTTTTAACGTTTTAAGTATTTTCAGAACTAAAAAGGCTAAAAATATTGAAAACAACCGTTTAAATAAAATTATAAAAAATAAAAATATAAAATTNCGTTTAGCAGAACTTTACAAACCGTACTTGTTCTTTCAAGGAATGTACGTATCTACATTTTTTTCGATTAATTTATTTCTATACAAGTTGGTCAACACTTGTTGCTCATATTTGGATATTGTATACAAACTAGAAGTAATTATTCTCTTTTCTAAGTATTAAGTTCAAGTTGTTCCTCATTCCTAAAACTCATATTTTTCAAATTCGTTTAAAATCACACATTTCAAGGGATTCACATCTTTTGTTAGTCATACATTTAATCAACTTTTATCCAATTTTACTAAAAATCTGAATTTTATCTAAACAAAAAGAGGCCAAACTTTGAGCAACAGTGAATTGACAAAATTCAAGAAGAAAATATTTTTATTGAATAATTTATTCATCTAAAGTAATGATCACTATCGGTCTGTGTGATAGTAAGTTCACTATCATATTATTCAATGAAATTGGATTGCATTTTTCTTCATTGAACAATGTGACCGTGACCCTACTATCACATACACCTACAATGATCATCGTTCTAGGTGAATAACAATACTTTTTTTTTTTATCGTTCCATTAATATCTTGAGCTCATCATTTATCTTCTATATTGCATATCATGGTGCAACTTTCCAAATTCAGTTATATCGTTTCATTATACTTGCAGTTTCGATGACAGTACTACTGAAAATCTACGAACGGCAACCAGAGGAAGTGAAGTGTTTAATTTTGATCCAAAATGCATTCAATGGGAAGACTACTTTATGAACACTCATTTTTCAGGAATCATAAAGTACGCATTGAAGTGAACACACATTAGGTTGGGTTTGTGTGCTGGCATTTCTTTGAATAATGAAGCATGTTCATGATTACTTCAATGAAAAAGAAACATCAACGGTAGGCTATATTTTGTGTATGATTATTTTTCTCCGAATAATGAAAATATTGAGAATTTTGGTTCTGATAATACATTCAAATGATAATATGTTCATCCGTGAGGAAGAAAACCATGCACCGTGCACTGTATATTTTTGCACTTACTTTCCATTAATGCACACACAAAATGAGAAATTATGAAATGAAAATTATAATTTTTTGTGAGCATGTCGATAAGTTGTAGGGGTGGCAAAAGGGTCGAGTAGTTCGTCGGCTCGGCTCGGCTCGGCTCCACTTGTCTCGTCTCGTCTTGTCAAAGTTCGGTCCATGGACGGCTAGGGCTCGTTTCCGGACGAGCACGAGCTGAGCTGAGCCGGGGGTTTGCCCGACGAGCCGAGGAAGGCTCTGCTCGTCGAGCTCTCGAACAGCCTTGTGGGCATGAAGTTCACGAGCCTACGAGCTCGGCTCTTGAGATCGTAAAAAATGTGAAGAAAAAAGTAAAAAAAAAATTAAAAAAGAAACTCATGGGCTCGTCGGCCGAGCTCGACCCTTGAGCTTGAGGGTAGATGGGCCTAGCCGGCTCGGCTAGGCCCATTGCCACCACAAATAAGTTGAGAGACCAACATAATTCTTAACCAATTAATTATCACTGTGTATGCTGTATATTTTATTGAAGTGCATGTATATTTCTAGTTTACACAATGGTGGAAATAAGTATTAAGTTATAATAAGCATGCTCAGATTGCTTTTTCAAGCTTATAAATTGGTTGAGTATCATTTTTATCTCCATATTACGTAAGATCCACAATTTTTATATTTTTTTTATCTGCACATTTGAATATTTATCTAGCCTTCAAAACTAAAAATAGTGAAGCACTACTTTCCATTTTGTCATTAAAACTAAAGATACATGTGCTTTAATTGAATATTTAAACTAAAAAAAAACATAATGATCAAATTTGAGATAACATGTGTAAAGAAAATGAACCTGATATTTTCTCATGATTGATGACGCTATATCCACTTGAGCTTCGGTTGTTAGCTCTTTATATCACTTGGGAAGAATCTACATAGTAGTGATTACATATAAACTCAGTGCCTAAATACTTAGAAATTACATACAAAGGTAGCCTTGAGTGAGATCTACAAAAGGCCTCAAAGAACTACAACAAACAATGGGATAAAGGCTTAAGATGAGCCACTTTATTAAAGTGCAAGATGAACCCTATGAAATGATACCGAAAAAGACACTTTAAAGAAATGTCATAGGAAAACTAACAACCCTTCTCAAGTAATTGGTTTAAAAAAGTGCACCATTTTCAAATCACCAAGTCGTGTTCCTCAGCATCTTTTTTGCAATTTGAGTGTAGGATTGATCCAACCCACTTATCAACACACATTCCGGCCAAGTTTGGTGAACCTGCATTTTAAAAATCTTCTCATCTCTAAGGGGTTGAAGCCTCCATGAACCATGGTCAATATGAAGTATTCTTAGCAGTATTAGAATCAAGTTTTAACCATCTCATCTAAAAACCAATTGATGTTCAGCGAGAGTAGGCTAAACCTTTTATAGCATTCGATCACCATCATATGAGTAACCTAACCCATGGGCTTAAAAGTTGCGTTATTGCACTCCAACAATCCCCCAACATGACGCTCTTCTAATTCAAACTCATAACCCTTGCTCTTATACCACTTTTTAAGATTGTGTTTCAACCATTTCATCCTAAAATCAATTGGTAACTAGTAAACGCATACTAAACATTTTTGTCCCCCCACTGGACCAAGTGAACGTGCTCCCCTGAGAGTTCACATCCATTACCCCAACAATCTATAATCATATCTGTAAAATCATCTATGATCCTAGCCACAACCTCTTTCCCTCCTCGTTTCTCATGAACTCCTTCATTAAATGAAGTTGTTATGAATTTTAGATCGCAAAATAATGACGATAATGAAATAAATAAATAAATAAATAAATAAATATATATATATATATATATATATATATCTTTTTGTTGGAGTTCTAAATGAAGAAGAAGTCATTTTTCAAACAAAACTCTCAATCCTTGATGAAATTTGATTTTCATTAATTTGGACTCTTAAAAACTCAAATCCCTTAAACTTCTTTTATTTTACCAAACTCAAATAACATGGAATTTGGATCACACCACAACAAATCTCCACCTTGAAACAAATTTCATCACAAGGAATTCAAGACACATCTCCAAGTAAACACCGTGCATCCTCTTCTAAACAAGTCCTAATGGACTAAATCAATGACAAACATCCACTAAGTTCAAGAAATGTTCAAACTTAGCAATAGGAAGTGGTTTTGTTATCATTTCAGTATGATTATCCTTGTTATCAACATTGCTCACTACAATATCACCACGACCAATCACATCACGCACAAAATGATATCTCACATCAATGTGCTTAGTTATCTCGTGAAACATCTGATCCTTAGTCAAAAAAATTGCACTCTGACAATCACAAAATATTGTAGACACCTCTAAGTTTTCACTAATTTTACTTCTAAATGAAGAAGAAGTCATTTTTCAAACAAAACTCTCAATCCTTGATGAAATTTGATTTTCATTAATTTGGACTCTTAAAAACTCAAATCCCTTAAACTTCTTTTATTTTACCAAACTCAAATAACATGGAATTTGGATCACACCACAACAAATCTCCACCTTGAAACAAATTTCATCACAAGGAATTCAAGACACATCTCCAAGTAAACACCGTGCATCCTCTTCTAAACAAGTCCTAATGGACTAAATCAATGACAAACATCCACTAAGTTCAAGAAATGTTCAAACTTAGCAATAGGAAGTGGTTTTGTTATCATTTCAGTATGATTATCCTTGTTATCAACATTGCTCACTACAATATCACCACGACCAATCACATCACGCACAAAATGATATCTCANCATCAATGTGCTTAGTCCTCTCATCAAATATCTGATCCTTAGTCAAAATAATTGCACTCTGACTATCACATAATATTGTAGACACCTCTATGTTTTCACTAATTTTACCGATCAATCCTCTCAATCACATAGCCTCCTTACATGCCTCTGTAAGGACCATGTATTCTGCTTCTGTTGTAGACAAAGTTACTGTATTTTGTAAAGTAGCTTTCTAACTGATGGCACAGTCTCCAAGAGTAAACACATACCCTGTAATTGATCTCTTCTTATCAAGATGCCCTGCATAATCTAAATCCACATATTCAATGACTCCATCTAAATTTCTACCAAAATGCAAACAAGTATTAGAAGAGCCCCTCAAGTATCTGAAGATCCACTGCACTTCTTTCCAATGTTCCTTACCAAGATTTGTCATGTATCTGCTAACTGCACCAACTGCATGTGCCAAATCAGGTCTTGTACAAACCTAGAATACATCAATGAACCAACTGCACTAGAATAAGAAATCCGAGATATGTAATCAATGTTTTCATCTGACTGAGGACACAAGTTAGATGGTAATTTAAAGTGGACAGCCAAAGGAGTACTAACAGCCTTCGCATTCACCATATTTAATCTTTCAAGCATCTTCTCAATTTACCCATTCTGACTCAAATACAATCTGTCGGTCTTTCTATCCCTCAAGATTTACATATCAAAAATCTTCTTTGTTGCACCCAATCCTTTATATCAAACTCTTTACTGAGTTGAAACTTCACTTTTCTGACCTCTGTTTTATATTTAGCTGCTATGAGCATGTCATCAACATATAATAACAAATATGTAGTCAATCCACTATCTTCTTTTCTGAAGTACACACAACTATCATAATTATATCTGAAAAAACCATAAGTAGTCATGAATTAATCAACCTCTTATACCACTGCCTTGGTAACTGCTTTAGTCCATATAAGGACTTTTTCAACAAGCACACAGTCTTCTTTTTCAGAGACTATGAACCACTCTGGTTGTTGTATGTAGATGTTATCCTCAAGTTCTCCATGTAAGAATGTTATCTTAACATTCATCTGTTCAAACTCCAAGTCATTCTTAGCCACCACTCCAAGTAAAGCCCAGATGGAACTATGCTTCACAACTGGTGAGAACACATATGTAAAGTTAACACCTGAAATCTGATTGTAGCCCTTTGCCACCAATCTAGCCTGTATCTAGCATTTTCAAACCTTGATGTGCCTTCCTATATTTGAATACCTATTTGCAGCGAACAACTTTTTTACCTAAAGATGGAAAAATGACTTGTCAGCTCGGACTTTGCTCGGAAAAAGCCCGAGCCGGGCCCGCTAGTTGCTCGATGGGGCTGAGACCCATTTTGGGCCTTTGATCAAGCCAAGCTGGCCCGTGAGCCTAAAAAAAAAATTTGCCTGCCACTTTTTTTTTCTTTTCATTTCAGATGTAATTTTTTTTGTATGTTCATATTTAGTTATTATTTATAATACGTATAAATTGCACAAATTTTAAATTCTTTAAAAAAAATTAGATTTGTCACAAATAAAAAAAAATTGAGTCAGCTCGGGCCTGGACCGACTCGGCTTTTGCTCGGGTCGAACCTAAATTTTTTGGCCGAGCTTTTGCTCTGCTCGGCTGGGGCTAAAAAAAGCTCGATGTATTTTTACTCGAGTCGAACCCGAGCAAAACGTTTCGGCTCGGCTCGTTGACATCTCTATTTTTACCTCTAGGTAATTTCACAAAGTCCCAAGTTTTATTTTTGCTCAATGACTCAATTTCCTCATGCATAGCAATCATTGATCTGTTAGAATCACTGCAACTTACTGCCTCTGAATATGTAGCAGACTCCTCAGTGGAATCAATGTCTTCAACCACACTCAATGCATAAGCTACTAAATCTGCTTCCCCATACTTCTGTGGAAGTCTAATCTATCTACGAGGTCTA